CCCCAAAACCCCAAAACCCCAAAACCCCGTACTATAAATCGATACTTGAAATTAGTTACTTATATAATTTGTGAAGTTTATTATGGAACCTATAGAAAGGGAACAATGGCAAGATAAATACAGTGATGTAGGTGTATAGCATGGATAGTTTAGCTTAGAGATCCACCCACTAATTTGTATCGTCTTATAGTTCATCTCTGCTTTTGTGCATCATTCATTGATGAGATATAGCTTCATTTTTGCATATGGGGTAACTGGAGACTAGAGGATGATCAAGCCTCGGGTTTTGGGGAATAAATTCCTCATTTGATAAATCTTTGTGTTTTATACCACTCGCTTCTATTTCAAGAAGATTAACTATATTTTATTCAGCCTTCAAAACCTCAAAGATCAAATGTTATTCCTCTGAACTGTCTAAACGAGGGTTTGAATAAAGAACAGCAAGAGTTCTCAGAGAATCAACACCAATCAGAGATGTCCCTCATGCAAGCTAGACCACTCAAGGGGAATACAGGTCCCGAAGATCAACAGACCATGGTCAAGAGGATGTGTGAATTCGCTCTCAAAAATCTCAATGATCCTCGCTGAGTTCAGCAATTCGGAAATATGGTGAGTTCTCTATTGCTAAAATTATGAATCTAACAACTTTTTGCGATACTTTTTAGATGAAATCATTTACAATGAGCCAGCTCGATCATCTGAATGGAGAGCCTGAGGCTGATGCACAAGATGCAGTAAAGCATCACCATATTGAGCTTGATCAGCCCATTGAAGAGTATGAGCATCGAATTGAAGGGCCTGAGCATCAAATTGAAGAACCTGAGTATCCCATTGAAGAGCCTGAGTATCACATTGAAGAGCCTGAGTATCACATTGAAGAGCCCGAGCAAAGCATGGAAGAGCCTCAAAAACTCAGTGATAGCCGTGACCAGAAGACCATGAGCAATCTTACCAAAAATTTGGAGCAAATAAATTGTCAAGGCGACCAACAAATTAGCCACAAATTAGAGAAAACAAATGAGTATCAGAAATTGCCAAGTTTTCTCAAAGAAAAGAGGGCTCCTCAGGTGCGTTTTAAGAATAACTTATCCATACAGCAGATTAGTCACAATTCAGATCAGTCCTTAGTAAAAGAAAGTTTGATGAAGGGATCACTAGGAACCAATTACCTCCAAAGCAGGGCGTCATATGAGGAGGATAAGTACGATCCATCAAGCTCTGATTCTAATACGAGGTAAATAGCTTCTTCAGGATAACTATATGAACTATTAAATCAACAAGTTATACAACATGCTAGGATGGTGGCATCTACAAGCTTCATTCTTATCAGATTTCCATTTTCCGAAAACCCATCTATACCTTCTTCCAGTTCTATATTCTCAAACCCACTCCTTTTATCCTAAATCCTCTTGCTAGATCTCTTATTTTGCTTTCTAAATATTTACCCAATTCTCTCATCCTTACAGTCAAAATGCCTTAAAAACTAAAATACACAAATAGTAACTTGAGGTACATCTTTTGCAATATAAAGGGATGTCCATCTAGCTTAGGCTAAATAGTATTTTCACAGTTTTAGGGATAATAGAGTTAGTTTAGACTGGAGAGGGTTTATCTGAGTGGCATTGTGTTTGGATTGCTTTTCTGTATCAAAATTGTATAACCTCTTTGGGGATTTGATGAGAGGAGGGATATTTTTGGGAAAGAGGAAGATATAGAGTGGGACTTGGTTTTAGTTGAAGCTCGAGATCAGATTTGGTAATTTGTTATTGTTTAGCATATGAACTACATGATATTTTCCTGCTTTTCATTGTTTCAAGGAAGGAACTAGATCATTTCATAACTGCGCCATTCCTTTTGAGTTATATAAAGTTTAGGCTCACTTTCTCGTGATTTCTTATTTTTACTTCAAATAAGCCACAAAAATATACAATTTTCTAAAGTAACTTTTCCTTTATAGTGAATCTGGGTCTTCAGATTGATCATGGAAGGACTCATTATATGAGCCTCCTCCTCGTACATTCGATCCAGATCATCTATCCGATGCTCATGTATTCTCAGAAGCTGAAGTTTTCTCAGATTCTTACTCTGACGACACAAAAGAGTGAGGCTATTTCAAAGTTTCCCAAGTAGACAATGTCTTGAATTCAGGTTCTCAAGAGCCTAATGATTCTAGTGAGAATGACTCTCAGCCTGAGGTAAAAGAGTACTCAGGCATTATAAGCCTCAAAATGATCAAGACTACATGTAAAGAAATTTATTTAGAAGTAGCATCTGAAAGTAGTAGTAATTCAATAGACGAAGAAGAGGCATTTGAAAGTAAAAGTGATCTAACACAAGAAAAAAAGGAATCTGAAAATAGTTGGGATTTAATAAGCCAAAAAGAGGTATCTGATAGTAGTAGTGATACAATCGAGGAAGATAAATCATTAGAAAAAAGTAGTGCCCAATAGATGAAAGAATGACACCTGAATATATTGAAGATTCAATAGATGAACCAAGAACTTCTGAATTTCTTTTCCTCCACATCTTATTAGTGATCCCTGAATTCGTTCAGTACTACACCCAGAGGCATCCAGAATGGGATGCTGATGAAGAGAAGTTCAAGTTCAGCAGATCTATCCGTCAGGTAATCTATCAGTACTTTGATGAAGACATTGAAAAGATCAATATTTCAGAATTTTGGGATTTATTAAAAAGCGAAGTTGAAGAATTACAAAAGAATAACTTATTGGCACTTTTCATGACCTTACTGGAAAGGTTAGAGGAAGAGAAAAGATTAGGGATGAGTCTGACCTTCAATAAGAGATTCAACAATCCTTATGCCCCTACTCTTGCTCATACTACATTTGATCCATCTATTATGAAGCAAGATAGGGAGCTGTTTATTGGGACTTATGAGGCTAAATATCAATGAAAGACATGCTGGAATTCGAATATAGAATATGAAAAGTTCATGAATATACCTATCAACTTCTATAAAAATGATTCTTACAAAGGTTTCCAGGAGTTCCTTGAGATGCACAAGATCAGGACATCTGGCAAAATGCATTGCAAACATTGTAATACTAGAATATTTCTGTTGAAATCAACCAGGCTCATTATAACGTTCAAATTTCGCTGCTTCTACTCTGCAACAACAATCTTGCATTAAAAAAATCACAATTTCTGTCTTTCTTTAACAAAATCTTACTAAACTTTATTTGGAAAACTATCAGTTTTGAAGAAGTGTAATTATTGAGAAAACTGAATTTATAAACCTCACTAGATTTCGCTAAGAGCCTAGGAGTATATCATCCTCTAGCTTATTCACTTAGGAGATTGAGCTTAATGATAGATGCATAGTTTTTGCTTCAATTTTTAGTAAGAGCAGATTTCAAAACGTTTACTTCTATTTCATCACAATCAGTTAAACTATAGACGGGCTGATAAATAAATTTAGCGTTTCATACAATGGAATATGACCTAGGATTCCTCAGTGATTGATAAATAATCTATTACAAATTCTTATCATTAATTATAGGCTCAAGGAATCAGATGCTTTTAAATCAGAGCTCCAGCCATGAACTTCAAGATTGTTTCGTCCAGAAGAGAATAGTAGAATACCCATTATGCCTTATTGTTGTGATATCCAAGCGAAATAATTTCAAACAATTTATGAACTTCGAACTTGACTTTTCTCATGGCTTTCCTTCCCCAGTGCATTACACTAACATCGGAATAATCCTGCATACTGGATCTACAAGATGTGGTTACAAATACTGAACTAAAGTAAAGGTAAACGGAGAAAGGAAATTAATCATACCCTCCGGGCGTCCCCATCCTCCATCCATAGCCAAATTTGGATTTCACGACCACATTCTGGTCTACAGCCTCCAGTCCAAAGACTAAGATATTTCCAATAAACTTTGAGAACCCCCAAGAGAGATCACCAAGCCTAATAAATGTATAAAATGAAGGCTAAAATAAGTAAAGTAAAGAGCATTTGAGCGAAAAAGAGTCCGTGCGGGTTCTAAACTCAAAAAGAAAAGAGGATTAGGGCTGAGCGTTCTGAGGAGAAATGGGAAGCTATATGGGATAGGGGAAAGCTAGACTTCAGGAGTTTAAGTAGGGGTTCTAGGGATAGACTGGGGAGATTAAAGTTGTGGGGCGTGGTTTCACATTATGGGGAAGGGTTATTTTAGTCGTTGAGGAAGGAAAATCTCCTTTTTAGTTCAAAGGAGTTTATGTACTAGGTTAGAGAAAAAATTTCTGGTAGAACCTTATTGTAGGGATGCACGACTTAAATAATTTTGAGCCTTTAGCTGAATAATCTTCTGGGACTTGAATAAAGTTCTAATTGGGGTTCCAAGCTATTTAAGTCATGTCTCCCAAGAAATAAGGTTCTGACAGAACATTTTTCTCTAACCTCATCCAAAATATCTTTAAACTAAAAATTGGAGATGTTACTTCTCAAGAATGAGCAATTATTCTCCTCTCATGGCTAGAAATAAAAATCGTTATTCTTATTTCCACCAGTCTATCTTAGGCTAGGCTAATTTTTATTAAAAATGTCGAAAGTGATAACTTTTGCTCATAATCTACAATTAACGAATCTAAATGCAATTTGCTGGTTTCTCTAAATAAGAACTTGAGAGTCTAGGATTGGAGGTATTACAGTATCTGCCTGGACTAGTTTTGGCATTATAAACTTTAGCTGTGAAGACTATTATCTTTATAATCCTTATGGCATTAATCTGGAGCATTTGTTATGAAATCGTTATTTGGGTACTTGCTCAGCACAGTCAGCTTGATCAAGTTTTTTGGAATTTCTGCTATTCTTAGTGTAAAACCGGGCCAAATCTAGTTCCAAAGAGGGGTTTAATTCAGATTCTAGAGGAAAATTTGCTGGTAGTGACTTATGGAGCCATGGATGTACCAATGTCGAAAATCTAGGCCTTTTTCAATGAATCTGCTAGACTGTGGGGTTTTGGGGTTTTGGGGTTTTGGGG